ATCTTTCCAAACTGAAATGAAAGATTAATACTCTGTGACTTTCTTCTGATAGTATGTTCATCAATATTTTTAGTTGGTCTTCTATTTCTGCTAATACTACGGTGTCATCGGCATATCTTACATTGTTAATGATGATTCCATTGACTCTGGCACCTTCAGGGCGATCTTCAAGAGAAGCTCTGATGATATTTTCGGCATAGGCATTAAATAGAACAGGGGACAGAATGCACCCTTGACGCACTCCTCGTTCTATGTTTACATAATTGGTATTTCCGTTGTCTGTTCGAACACATCCTGTGTGGTTCCAGTATGTATTGCTTATTATAGCTATGTCGTGTCCGTCCAGCCCTACTTCTTTTAGCACCTCAATCAATCAATATCTCTGTTGGTTATAACATAATCTATCGTAGATTTTTGTCCACAGGTGTTATTAAATGTATATTTGTGTTGGTCTTTGTGGTCAAAAAATGTGTTGTTTATTCTTAGTTCGTTATTCCTGAAGAAGTTTATCATCAATTCTCCACTTTCGTTTTTGACATCCTTGTTATGTTTTTGCTTAATTCCGGGTAAAACTGGATTGTCTATTCGAGCGTTAAAATCTCTCAATAGTACAATCTTTCCTCTGACTTGATCTAATACTTGTAATTGGTCATAAAATCAAAAGCTTAAATACAAAGCTTCGCTTGTTGTTTTTTGTTATTGTTCTGTTATCTTGTTATTTTCTGAACCGTATACTGCGATGATGGTCAGGTCTGCCTTCTCCATTCTTATCTTTCTAATGTGAAAGTTTAAATTCAGTGTTTTTAGGCATATGTCAAACGCTTCATATTTGTTGTCAAAACTCATAATCGAAATTTCATCATATAGATTTTGAAGATAATAATATAATAATGGAAATTATATAGACAGAGACAGACAGACATTCAAAATCGCTGGTCACTTCAAGCGTTGTTTCTGAGAGAACAAAATTATCACACATTTCTTGTTTGAAACAATTTTTTTTAGGCGTACAGATTCTTTGTAAATCGATGTTTACCGTTTTCCCCCATACGAGGTGGGTTTCAGGGGAAAGCCCGGACAAACTTTTTTTGCATCCTTTTGGGGTCCAGAAATTGATATTCTAAGCAAAATTCTGCTTGTCCGTCTCGTTTTTGGAGATCAAACTTCTGACGACTGAACTAATAAAACTTAAATAGTTAACTAATGGGTTTCATAATATATTTGAAGTATCATACAATAAATCAATATTTTTATTCGAACGCATACAACTATGACTTTCCTAACTAATTAATCAACCAAAATTACACTAATTAATCATTATATTCATTTCTATTTACATTACTTTCTTCCACTAAAGACAGTGTACAACCCGATTAGGAACATGATTATCTCGAAATTAATCATTTTACTCCACAAATGGAACATAAACTTCTCAACAAATATATTTCACCTTGTAGAACCTCCGGCATGCAATTGATGCATACTTTGTGCAACTTTGGAAAATTTATACTCTCTTGAGTGTGAGTAAATTGCGAAGGAGTTTTCTCAAGGCGCGAAATAATGAATATTGGATTAAGAACTGTGTGCTACATGATTTACATAAAGTCGTTATTTCGACTATTAAATGGGTTAATAGCTCTAGCAAAACTGAACTCATTAGACTTAAATATCTGAGGATTTGGTGTACTAGGTTTTCTCGATAATGCAATAGAATAAGGAAAGCGTGTCTAATTTCCAACCTATTCAACTTTGTGATGGATATCATGAAAGAAACTGAAACAGTAGACAGCCGAGTTATAGGTTAGGAAAGTGAAGAACTAAACGTATAAGATTTAACATTGCAGTTATTGCAATTCTTTTAAATAAGGCACACAGGGCATATTTCATATCGGTAAAACCGCTGACCTAGGCTAAGAGGTGTAGATACAATAAGATGTGTATTATCAATTCCGCCTAGTTTTTTTAGTTAATTAATTTAGGCGAGGAAGGAAAGTATGAGACAATTAAAGAAGCAATAGCGCAAATCGTTCGGTGTGAAAGTTGTACGTCCGAATACTAAAAAAAAAAGAATATAAGCGGAGTATCAAAAAATAGAACAACAGTAAAATATGTTTACAAATGATAGAGAAAAGCAGTGCAGAGGTCTTACTACCCATCTTATCTTCATAATCTTCTTCAAAAATCCTACGCCACAATACCTTTTAAATGTTTATACAATATTTTGATCAGAACTGACCTAAGCAAAACATATATCAGAGCTCTACATAACATCTATGCATATCCACAGAGTGTCGTAAAGAAAAAAATACCTATTCAGAAACATTTCGAATAACAAAAGGCCTTAAACGAGGACGCGTCCAGTTCCTTACTTTATTTACAATCTATATTCAAGAGGTATTAGAGAAATGGGTGCAAAATATCAGGTATGAAAATGAATGTTGGCGAGAGGTACCTAACAACATTATTTTTCTTTGACAATCAAGTAACAAAACCAAACTGTGAAGACGTAGATTACATAATAAGGCAAGGATGAATAAGAACAGGCCGGAATAAAAAAACATGTTAGCAAATCAGAACACTTAGGAGTACGAAAAGAAAACTATCCAGAGTTAAAATTAAAACAAATTGAACAATGCGAAGAATATAAATATCTAGGCAGATAAAAGAGTGTATATGTTCAGAATTCTTCACATTGGTCCAAACCAATCCAATTCAGTAAAACCAATCCAGATTTATGCTTGCTCCCATTCCCATTTCAAGACAAGTTCTTAATAACTTTCCACATAGCCAGTACCGCCTCATAATTCTTGAAGTAACTCTAGACTAACATGGAATTTTAAAAAAGCGAGTTTTAATTACCATAGATTTACCAAAGTCATTATAGCAACTACCAAGAATTACAAAAAATGGTGATCCTGAAATTGCGAATGAACTTCTTAAAAACTTAGACGTTTCTCGCCGCAAGAAATAGGAAGAAACGACGACAGGTATACGCTTAACAAAATCAAATAGGACAGCATGGAGTCTTCTAAAGAAATTAGGCAGCTTGAACTGGCAGGTTGTAAAGCTGTCCAAAGCCCAAAAAGTGAAAAAACACCATATGACAATTAAAAAACAACTTATCTCCGCCAAACAATCAGAGCTCACCATAAATACTCCAAACCCTTTAAATTAGAGAAGGTTAGTGAGGCATAAAGAGTTGTCAACCATAATAAAAACAACCAAAATCACCAAAACAACCAATACCTCGGTCACATCATGAGGAACATGAGGAACAGCAATATATATGCGTTGCTGCAATTAAGTCTACAAGGAAAAGTAGAAGCAAAACAAGGACCAGGAAGGCGAAACATTTCCAGGCTGAAAAATCTACGTACGTGGTTCAACACAACAACCACCAATATTTTCAGAGTAGAAGTTTGCAAAATACAGATTGCCATGATGGTCGCCAACATTCGAAACGGATAGGCACTACAAGAAAAAGTGAAGCATTAAATGATATCAAATCTGGAAAAGCACCAGGGTTTGAGAGAATCCACGCAGAATTCCTAAAACATTGTGAGAGACACGCAACAATGTGGCTATAAGTCAATAACCTTACAACGACATGTTATGACAGCGGATTTCAAAAAAGCAAAAATAATTACAATGCATAAATGCACTAAACCTAAAAACGTAGGGAGAAACTACTAAAAGGCTACTCGTAAGCAGATTCAGTTCATTAATTCTAGAGAGCGTACCAATAGAGCGGGCTGGGTTCCGTCCTAGCATCGAAGATGCACAGATCAAGTATTACCACAAATATAAAAGCTGGCTTTCAACGACTTTTAATAACTACGGTAGCTTACATTCATCTAACTGCTGCTTACGACGCGATGGAGGAATGAACTTATCTTTAAATTTCTCAATACTATACCGTGTAACCCAGTTGCTACACTACTAAACAATATGCTGTGCGATAAGTCTCTTCAAATAATAACTGGAGGCAGTAAGAGCAGGGTAAGGAAATTGCAAAATGGGCTACGTCAAGGATCGGTGCTTGCTCCGATCCTCTTCAATCTATATACATCTGATATCCCTCCAACATTGACAAATAAATATACCAATGACTTAGCACTAGCCCATTACCATTATTGCCATTATTGCCATAGCACTTCCCATTATCCATTAATGCAGAATGATGAAGAATGTAGAGTGTGTATAAAAATTTCGTATAAGATAAAATAAAAATAAAAAGAGGTATTAGGTAATATTGCTTGTTGTTATTAAATGTACATTTGAAAGAAATAATTTAAAAGGCACTTGAAAATCAAATAACTGGAATAAAAATCAAAGATCATCCCGATTGCATTATCTGATACGTAGCAAAGACCATTTAGATTTTATGGACGATCGTGAGTCACTGCAAGGTACAGGAATGTGTTATTATCGTTTATTAAAACGCCAAGATTAACAAAGACATACAACTAATACAATTAGTTCATATATGCAAAAAATTAATAGAAAAAACTCTAAAGAACACAAGGACCACAAGAAAGGACATGGATGCATAAGAAAGAAAAAATAGATATTTAATATTTACATATTATTGTGAGTGACAACCCCTGATTGTGGACCTGTGCGTATAGAAATTCGAGAAGCCGACTTCACCTCTTTAATGGTAACTTTCTAAAATTTCATATTTTCGCGTAGATTCGGCTGCCGTCCTTCCGCTAGCTATTTAGAGAACATTTGTTCTCATTATATAAGCCACCGAGGCTGCATTTGAAGATTAGTATTAGCGAATTGTTTTTTAATCGATATCAATGTGGATAATTATTAAGCCATAGTACAATAAGCCATAAAACAATAAGTAAGCCATAATTATTAATGTAATTAGAATTTGTGATATTTAAAATTAAATGCGTTTTATTAAAACTAAAATTAAGTTAGTTAAACCATGATTGCTTCACTGAATCACTGAAACCACAAAAAACGTAACAATTTTATAAACTACTTACCATTTTCAATGTAGTACGATGTTTCATTATACCGATCATCTGTAAAACCAGGACGTTTAGCCTTTAGAGCTTTTGTTTCCAATTTAGCCTGAAACAAAATAGAAAAGTGTTAAAACAAACAAAATTAAGCAGAAACAATACAATCACAAGAGCCATTGAAGGAAAAAAACATAATTCAATCCAATTAGTTTAATGAATATAATTCATCATCATCATTCTAGCTTTACAACTCTGCGTGTGTTAGCCTCCTCAAGAATTTATCTCCAGTCGTCCCTATCCATCGCCTTCCTCCGCCAAGCACATATTCCCATATTTATCATGTCTTCATCGATCGATGTTATTTATCAAGGAACCGTCTTCTTCACACTCGATTGTCGTTCACTGCTCCATAGACCCTATGGCGAGATTATGGCTTATAATATCCCAACATGTTTTCATTATTTTCATGGTAGAGTCCAGGTCTCTGAACCATATGTTAGGACTGGGCGTATTATTGTTTTGTAGAGTTTAATTTTCGTATTTCTCAATATAATTGTGGATTTAATGAGGAGATGTATCCCACAATAGCACCTGTTGGTCGTGCAAATTCTGCGGTTTATCTCTGCAGTAGTATTATTTTCAGTGTTAAGGAGCGGTCACAGGTATATGAATTCGTTCACTGTTTCGATAACGTCGTTTTCTATAACAAGTGGTCGTAGGATTTGGGGTTGCTTATATGCGTAGGATTTTATATACCTCGTTTTGATGGTGTTTATTATTAAACCCATTTTTTCAGCTGATGCTTTTAATGCTGCATACGCCTCTTGTACAGCGTTTACTGTTCTCCCAACAATATCATCAGAATAGGCCAGGATTTGCACTGATTTATTATATATTGAACTAGTAGTTTTGATTTGTGACATACGTATTACTTTTTCCAGAGCCAGATTGAACGGTGTTCAGGAGAGAGTGTCTCCCTGGCGCAGCCCGTTATTCGTTTTAAAAGGTTCAGACAGATCCTCCTGAAATCGTACTCTACATTCAACTTTTTCAAGAGTTAGTTTTGTTAAATGTACTAACGGATTTGGTATTCCTAGCTCTTTCATTGCTTTGAATATATTTCTTCTATTCACAGAGTCGTAGGCTACTTTGTAGTCTATAAATATGTGATGAGTATCAATGCCCTACTTCGATATATTTTTTTAAAATTTGTTTTAAGTTTGCATCTGATTAATTGTCGATTTACCACCTCCGAAACCAGCCTGGTATTTTCCTACTATCCGTTCTGCATATGGTGCCATAGGGTGACATAGTACTGCGGAAATATTTTATACGCTGCATTTAAAATCATAGTTCCTGTGTGGTTAGAGCATTCATATTTAAGATATCTTTGTGTATGGTGCAAAGCATTCCAATATTCCATTCATTGGGGAGGGATTTCTGGGTCCATATTTCTTTTATTTTTTCTATGTTTCTTTTATAAGCTGCATTCATATAATTAATATAATTATTATATTTTAAAATTAAATTATATGATAACACTTGGCAAACTTAGGTAATAGCCACAGCCAACCTTCAAGCTTCTTACCAAAGCTTCACCCTCAAGCTACATTAAGAAAATCGATCACCAGCCGGACATTTTGACGTCCTTATCTATCCTTATCGACAAACATAGAAGTACCACACCTTAAAAGACGTATATTCTGTTTGTAAAGTAGGAGGAGTAAACTCAAAAGACAGATTTACACCCAATATTGTCACTAGAAAAACCACCAGATTCATCTTCTTTTTTGGTTGGCCATCTGGGCCTTCGACTGTAATCCAGTGATCAGTATCGGACTTAAAACTTAATGTCATTGAAATAAATGGCGCTTAACTGAAACAGACAGAAATGTATCTTCGCAAAAAAAGGTTGCTTCAAAAAAGTTTAAGCCTGTCAACTGTTTTATATCTGACTTTGGTGTGACTTTCTTTAGACTTATCTTCAAGTAACTACAAAATAATAAAATGTACATTTGAATAAAGCTCTTTATCTTCTAATTGATTGCCAACTTAGATACAATAGAAAGATTTTTTGTGTTGGATGTTTGATTTACTAGATACTCTAATTTGTGGGTAATCCATACTTACCTAAAATTAAATTGTTTCAAGAATTTATATAATATCGGACACATATTTGGAAGATCTGGGCGGTTGTTGATTTCATTTAAAATTTTATTTAAACTAGGCATTTCACTCTTGAAAAATAAGCTATGTACTATCTGTCGTACAGAATTTTTTCATCATATGTTGCCAGTGTAGAAGTTGGACCGCCAGATTGTTTAGGGCATCTTATTGTTCCAGTCTATTTATATTCCTTAATTGTTCAATAAGTTTTTGAATTTGTAACAACTTAAATTAGCACATTACTTAGTAACTCTTGATTTCAACAATCACTGTTCTGCAAAACTAACCTATTGTCTGTTTTATTTTTGCTACCATGGCTGTTATTTGCATTTCGGGATCATTAATTTTTATTTGTTTATACATGTTTGTAATGCATTGTTTTTGCATGAGAAGGGCAATTATGACATATTTGGCATTGAATTCATATTTTACCACTTATTTAACGCTTCTTATAATACGTCGCTGAAGAGTTCTAACAAGAACTGTTTTTTATTAAAAAGGTAGGGTAAAAGTCTAAAAACTAAAGGAATAACGTAGAAAAAACTAAAATTGCCGATATAACTTAAGTATCTACTAATTTTATATAGCAACAGTGTCAAAATTTCATAATTTAGTGGAGCAAACTTGCTTGCGGTTGGACCAATTACAAACAAGCATTACGACTCGGTAAATTTTTTATTATTTCTCCAAGTTTAAAAACGTGGTATAGAGAAGTCTGAAGAAAGGATCTCCCATCGGGAAGATCCTTCCTAATATTATTCAAGCAAGAGTAAGTTGACATTTATATGTATAGGTATATGTACCTATTGTTCCGTCTCATTATAATTTACTTCATGTTGTTTGTCGATTTTACTTTTTATTTTAGATTCATATCGGTAATTCTTAAACTTTGGGTAAATTAGCTTCCAGAAATCTATTAGAAAATTAAAATGCTTATCAGTTTTACATATTTCTGGGGAAAATTTGTAGATTATAATCCCTGTAAACAAAATGACGGTATTAGATTTTGATTCGATACAGAGCAGCGACAAGCCGCATATACGTATTTCAACCTCTTTAGGTCTCCTCAGTACGGTATAGCCACTACTCCGTATCGAGAGTACTAAAACAAAATCTTTTCCCGTCGTAGACCATAATTATTAAAAATAACTATGTACAGACGTAACTACGCCATATAAGAACAAAAAGAGAAATCACACGAATTCTACCTGGCGAAATCGAATTCAAATCTCAGCCACCGTGCTTTCTAAAAATTGCAAAGCAAACAGCTTGATGAATAAATCGGCAAGGGAATCTAAGATTCCCTTCATTCCCTGTATCGAATCAAAATCTTAGATGGCATAGTTACGTCTGTACATAGTTATTTTTAATAATTATGGTCTACGACGGGAAAGGATTTTGTTTCAATGCGGAGTAGTGGCTATACCTTACTGAGGAGACCTAAAAAGGTCGAAATACGTATATGCGGCTTGTCGCTGCTCTGTATCGAATCTAAATCTAATACCGTCATTTTGTTTATTTCTTTACTTCGTTGGGAGTACCAGAAATTGAATTCACTACGAATTTTGGCCATGATGAACGGCATTTGGAATGCAATCTTAGATTCAGTTGCCGATTTATTCATCAAGCTGTTGATTTGCAAGTTTTAGAAAGCACGGTGGCTGAGATTTGAATTCGATGTCGCCAGGTAGAAATCGTATGATTTCTCTTTTTGTTTATAATCCCTGTCTTTAGAATTTAGGTAGTTTAACATTTACAGTTAGTCGAATCAAGTGGTTCATTGTTCTCGTGCCCGCTACGTATTTATGTATTTCTGAGAAGGGAAATATTTTATAGTTTTTAGAAACGACCTCCCCTCCACTAGGGGGTTCTGTTAGACGTTTTGTAATGTATTTTTAGAGGTATCATTCGAAACTCAGTTCTGTAAACACGTTTAGCTTAGTCAATAAAAAGTTCTATCAAAATTGTCGTTGTATGTTATTTTAATTCGATAAAATAATATTTTATAGCAACTAATTTCACGGTAAACTAATCGTGGGTCAAGGCACTTATATTATATTAAAATGTAGTTTAATATTTTATTTTATAAGCTTTTCTTCGCATGTATAAGATACGTGCTCAACTATTATATTTTTCTAAATATAAATTTTTAATACGCCCCATAAGTATTTAAAATGTGTAATAAATCAAACTTAATTGCACCCCAAAGTTCAATGTGCAACAAAAATTACTTTCTAATATCCTAAAAGTAATTCTAAATGCAAGACGGCCATTACGAAGAAGGAAATAAAAATTACAATGTACTAAAAATTTATTTCAAGGCTGTTTATAGCTCCTCTCCGTCCAATATTATTTATGTGCCATCAATAACATTCTATTTTATTTCCAGTTACTACTTTTAACATCAAATGCGAATAGATAAATTTTCCAAGTATCTTTTGTGCTTTAGTATCGGCAATAATACTCAGCAACAGCAACAACAATTGTGTTTATTCGAGTTGGACGCTAACGTGAACAGAGATTTCTATTTTACGAACAGAATCACTAGTGATTAGTAAACCCGTGAGTCCAAAAAAACATTTCAATGTGTATAGAAAGCATTTTTATAGAGCATATATGCTAGTCATATATTCAAACAAGATCAAAATTTAAAATTAGAAACCATTTTTTTCTAAAAATTTCTACCGTATAGTCCAAAATCGGCAAAATTTATCAAATATAAAATCTTTTATTTAATAATGTGTGTTCAAAATTTAGGCAAGATTTGAATTGCATAAAAAACACTGTTTTTTCTTAGAATAGGATAGGGTTATGTATAGAATAGCACATCAGATAAATGACCTCCACGGCTTTGCTAGCACGTAAGTACTCACTTTTTGTCGAAATTGTACAGGAGCATTTGCAAGTTACTAAAAACTCAAATGCAAGTTACAAAAATATGAG